GGAAAGTTAACTCGTATGCTAAGAGTTTGGTTATATGAAGTCCAGGGGCGGGTTGGACGAAGGCTGGACAGGGGGCAGCGAGATCCAACAGATACTGATTTTTTTCAACCGTTCTAAAAATGCTTGAAAAGGAATGAAATTTCAGATTTGGAACCAACAATTATTAAAGAGGATCCTCGGTTTAGGAATACTAAGATGTAATTTTTTCTTTTAAAATTTCATTAAAAAGCTTTTCACACTTTTGTATCATTCGATCTCGCAACGAGAGCTCTCCACATTGGATTAGGGAATCCTCATAGTTCATATCTCTGACTGAATACAATTGAAAAGGCTCTCTTTGGATTCATTCATTCGATGTCCTTACACAGATAGTTTGGTGAGGAGTAATAGAAAAAAACGGATGCCTATTCTAGAACAGGTCGTATGCAAGTCTTATAGAATTGTATTTTATCATTATCTGGCGCTTTGGCTCGCTTCAATTGCACTAACAGGTATAGGCCCCTTGTACACTTCGATATCATCTTATTTACGTACTTGTTCCATTTCAAGTCGTGTGTGAGATAGTTAAGCCAAGTAATTCTAATTCTTGGACAATTTCAATTGGTTTCCCATTCACGGTTTTCCGTTTATAATCGATTCTAAGTTCTATACAATTTTCATCATCATTCACTAGATCTGTACAGTAGAACTAACAGCTTGCTTTAAGACTACTTCCGAAGTCGTGAGGTCATCCATGGATTTTATTTGGTTATTTGGCATTAAGATGAAGAGCCAGGGTCCAAGTTTTGTGTCCTGTGCAACACCAGCGGGCACCTTCCGCCATGCAGAGTAGCAATCATTGCTTAGTTTAACTCGTTGTTGCCTTGTAGGGAGGAAATCGACGATCCAATTTAGGGTAGCGGTTGGCAAACTGAGATTCTTTAATTTACATACTAGGGTCTTATGATTATCAAGATCAAAAGCCTTTTGATAGCGAAAGAGAACAACTCAGACACAAAGTGCAATTGCCATAAGTTCCACCCAACCATGACATGACATGGCATGACATGACATGACGTCGTGACATCTATAATTCGATGAAAACGTAAACTAGTCGATATAATGATAGGCTGGGTAAACAGCGTTCTCGCTAGAATGCCCCAGAATTGCAAGTGTATGGCAAGAACAAGCATAACTATGATTAATGTGACCAAGCAAGATATGTCAAATGTTTGTTTAAAAAATATACAAAAGGATGAGCCCCATAGTAAAGAAAATTACGATAAAGGAAGAAATTATTATGATTTTCTTTGCCGAAGCAAGTGCGTAGACTTTGTAAAAAGTTTTTTGTGATTCGCAGCTTAGTTGGCTAGACGAACTAATATATTCGACCAGGAACATGTCAGCAAAGTGGTGCTTTCTAAACGGCTTGCTACAGTGAATGGCGTCTAGCACGATTATACAAAAAAAGCATTTGTGCGGTGGTGATATCTGGAATGATTTTAGGTTAAAGTGATGCAGGCAGGACATTCTCACCGTTTTTACAAGAAACAAAAATCTTTCCAGGCTTTTTTGTGGGGCAAATTTACAGCAAAATTCCATCCAGGAAATCAAATCTGTTTATAAAAACGAATATTTTTAACGAAAATTTCTCAAATTAACGCGCAATTTTGAAATGTGTGCATAATTTTTAAATATATATACAATTGACCTAAAAAAAAAGGTTCTGCTATCACTGATTTTTTATTAATCACGTCGCTCTTTTCATGCGCCAATTAACTATGGCCGAACTTAGTTATCGAATTAGTTTTCCCACGAGAGTGACTTGGTTCGGGCAAAGCAATCAATTTGAAGCGACGCTAAACAGCGTTGGAGCGACATCGGTACGGTTGAGCATTATCTGACATTGGACTATACGTTGCTCCGCTCATGCGCTGAACTAAATGCATAATTTTTTTAACATTTTCTAATTAATTCAGCCCGGAAGTTTCGGCTGATCATGCGCAAATGAACGTTTAGTCATGACGTCTCTAAGAAAGTCCAAAACGGATGCAAGTTTTAAACCTATTAAATCATACCACTTCACTACCCATACCTGATGCAACGCGTTTAGCGCTTTTAGATTTAGGTATTGCCGAATTGTTTTAACAGAAATGTTTACAAGAACAATTTAAAACAAAAAATATTTAGAAGCCGGTTTCTGACTTAAGTCTATGGCCCATTTACGATGTTGCTGAGCTCATTGTTTATCATGTGCATGCCGGATATTGCATGTGCATTTTTGTAGTTATATCTCAGGAAGATAAATTAATTTGATTTCATTTAATTAACCAACTCTCTTGCTCTTTTTTCTGATAATAAGAAAATCATTTCACTTCCTTTCACTGTAGTGGCCGAAACGCTTGTGGATATTATGGCGATATGCAACGGTTGAATGGTTTTTGTTGATGTACAAGAAAATATGTACAAAGGGGTATACTGTGCAAAAAACTTAAAACCAAGTAATATTTCAGCCGAGTGCATGATGAAAATTTGCCTGATTGCCTGCTATTATTTTTCCCAAGTTTTGACCTCACCACGAATGCAATCACACTTAAGCAGATTTGCAAGGAAACCTGTCTGCGGGTTTTGAATGAATGTAGTGTGTATATAAATGCTATGAAACATTTTTATTTGCATGGGCATGGAAACAGAACAAACGGTGATAACATGGCGAGAGAATCTCATGTAAAAAGTACTCTTGAAATCTCTCAATGTTCAGGAAAGCCATCCGGAAAATCCGTTACTGCTGGAGACAATGTGGAATGCATTGTGTATGCTACGAAAGAGAACGTGGAAGATAAAGGTATTTTGGGATATTAATATGTTTGGATGTATCTTTATACGACACTGTAACTGACATGAAGTCTCTTTGACATTCCTTGTTGACAATCACCAGAGTTCCGAATTGTCTTCACTAATCCCCCGGGGTGGTTAGTTGCTGCGGCACTTGTTCCTACTGCAGCGACTCACGATTTCCGCACGAATTTCTCGGGGATCGTAAATCTCCCGGCCATTAAACACAAATTTCCATGATCATGATGACTACGTCACGATATGAAGGAAAATGAATATATTGAAGTAGAAACTTCAACGACATAAAAGCTATGCAATGTAATATGTAGTGCAGGTTATGAAGTGTGGCCCAGGAAGCATGATAATCTACGTCCCAAATATGGGGTGATTATTCCAAATATGGGAAAGACACAAGAAATAAGCCTTGCAACATGGTAACGTGCGAAGGTATGGACCCGCTAATTTTTTTCATTTGTGGCCTGGTTATTTTCTTCGGGTGATACAATGTCTATCATTGTCAGTCTTTAACTGATTAAAGTCATAATTTATTGAAGCGCTGACAAGTTACCAAAATTACATGTGGTATTTTTGCTTCTCTGATTGTAAAAATTACTGCTGTTCTTCTAATTTTAAGAGGAAAGTCATTCTCTGAAGTAAAATCCTTCACAAGAGTGTAATGTTGTCTGTTCTTTAAAGATCTTACATTCAAATGTACTCGATGTTGTGTATTCACAACTTGAGTCCTTCGGCTGCGTGTATGCTGCTCGTTATTCGGACCAGAATTTGGCGCCATATCCATATAGATTGTTAACTCATTACTCCCCACTTTGTTGGCTGACTATAGCGAAGGACAAATTCGACTTTGTAGAAGGTATACGCCCTCGATAGACATTTTAATATGTTGAAATAGAATAAGCTCAGAGAATTTAACTAGCACATTGCTTGAAGTAATAGAGAGCTTTAGATTTGACTACGGCTACGAGATTCGTTACCGTGGCGCGAAACAAACGTTGTATGCATACGCCACTTTGTGCTGGCATGATAAACCTCTGCAAACACAATAATAAACGCATGTTTATCCCGTCAAATATTTCGGAAATTTTATCCTCACCATTTCCAAAAATACACGTATTCAAAGGCCATATGCACGTATATCAAAAACATTTCTCTAATTTTTTTTTCTGGAAAAAACCGAAAAAATGTCAACTTTTATTGCTTTTTAAATCACGTAGTCAGGACTACGAAGTTTTGTTAAAATGCCGTAGTCAGATGAGCGAGGGCTACGTGCCTCTGGCGTCAGTACGAAGTTTCACGAATATCACGTCAATGAGACGAATCTCGTAGCCGTAGCGGGAGTCCTAGTCCAATCTAAAGCTCTCTAATATCGACTCTCCGTATAATGTTAAAGCACTGAAAAATACTTGTTTCGGACAAAAAAACGAAGAAAAATATGCTAAAAAGAGAAAAAAATCCCGCAAATATCGATCTGCCCGCCATAATGATTTATCTACCTTTTATGGAGGTATATGTTTTTCCACTAAAGCACCCGGGTACGAGGCCGCTCTTGTACCCGAGGGCTTCGCCCGAGGGATATATCTTCCCGAGGGGGTAATATTTCGTCGAATTCCCCGAGCGGAAGGTCTATAAATTATATATTATATCGCAACAACGTGTGGGTGAAATGGCTTCTTTTGCCTCTATTTTTGAAATTGTTGACAACCTCGAGTCGTGTGCGAGGCATCCACGCGTGGTACACGCAAACTCGAATACCCCGCTGCAGCGGGGTATTCGACTTTTATAGCATAATGTGAAAAAATTCGATGGACTCCATGATTAATTTACTGATCACGTGGTACAAATCGAACTTTCTGATTGGATGATTTACAGTTGAGATATAATATTATAAGTTATTAACCCTCCATGCATTTACGGCAATGCAGCAAACGCTGCCATCGCTCCTTTGTGATATAGGAACGTTTCCGAATATAAGACTAAGTCACTAAAGGGCTGCTACGTGAGTCCGGTTACTGAGGTTATTTAGTGAAGCGTAAAATGTTCTTTGAGGTATTGAAATATGTCTTTTTGAAACAAAACAGGCACATGCTATAATTATTGTTAGGATAACTACACGACTACCAGGATCATGTTATGTACTCATTTCAATACCTGAGAATCCATTTTACGCTTCCGGAAACGGGCTCATGTGAACAGCCCTTAATAAATACTTCATTTTCATCAGCATTTTATTCACAATCTTTCACAAATCATCTCTATATATCCGTCTGCATCCAATGTTTGCATATGAGTTCGTATTTACATTTGATCCAAAGCTTTGTGCATGTATGTCAACAGTCTAATTTAGCATATACCTGATAATATGTGCTAAAGATAACAATATAAATAATTTGTTATTTACCTAGTGTCAAAATTTCTCTTTTCTGCTTTCCTATTGGCCAAGAGATCCACCCGTGCAGGGCTTCAAATCGCCATGAATATATACGCGCGAGAAACACGAGCGGGCATCAAATTTCATAATTTTCCATAGGGCATGCATATTTTTGGGAATAAAAAATTCTACCGTTTCTTGCCGATATTGCTTCATATTCTAATCTATACAGGTAATGTCCAGGGATTGGCTCTTCTTTGGCCTCCAGTTTATTTTCATTTTGACAGCAGTTACTGACTGACAGCACTTACTTACTTTGACAGCACTTACTTACTGACACCTAGAAAACGCAGTGTGTTTTGTTGCCCCGAGACCGCTATGCTGTTAGCAACAGCGGTCTCGGGTTAGCAAAACACACTGTTTCCCTCGGCGTCAGTACAAAAGTATCAATTGTCTAGGCTAAATGTTGAGTTGATAAATGGGTTAAAAATAATTCACAAAATATGTAACAGCCAATATTTTACAGGACGTGACGTGACATATGAGAAGTTTTGAAGGAGTAACATATCGCTTGCGAACTGAAACCTCATCAGCAGATCAGGCGCTGTGAACTTATTCTTGTCTAAATTTAGGAAATAATAACGTGGGCATTTCTACCTTAAAAACTTCGCGGATTACAGTATTAGATGTTCGAGGTGATTTAATATTTGTACACGGAAGTGCCACACACAAGACCTCCCGGCTTGTGTCAAGTATACTTAATTTTGGAAACATGCGTCATTCAAGTACAATTGAAAATCCCCACGTAGAAATCATGCTTTTTACGGAGAAAACTATTGCGGTACAAACGCTTACAAGTTACAACGGTTGTGAAATAATTCTGCAACAGTTGTAAATATCCAATTTGGTTGAAAAGAGATTTACGTGCGGAGTTGTTGTGAAATTTAATAACCGAGCAACATCAGTAAAAATATAATTAACGGATAAACGAGAACAACATGGCTTTGATGTACGCTTGGCAGCGTTATTTTGATGCCAGTTGTACTGTAATGATTCTTGCAACGATCTTCAACTCAAGTATTGCAGGTAACATCAGGGAGTTTCTAATTTCTGTTATACTGTGTTTTCTGGCAGCTTAATTTACACATGTATAATTATAATACGCTCGCTGTGGCCAGGCTTTGATGTGTCGCTATCGGTTCAGCGTTGTGCGTTATGCCTTTTGGACTGAGTTGTGGAAAGTTTCACGAAAAGGGCCGTGAAAGAGCATGCACCTAGAATGAGGCTTTTAAAGACGCTTATGACGTTTGTCGAACGATGTGATTGTTTTATATATATTCAAATTCAAGCTAGGAACAGTTGATGGAATAATGCGTCAACTATATAGGTCCTCCGGCAGGAAGGATTTATATATACTTCATATCAATATAATTCTACTTGACCGCGGTGGGAATCGAACGCGCGACCTTCAAATTTTTAGAATGATGCTCTACCGTCTGAGCTACAAGACCAAGTTGGGAACGACACTTGATTTTTACTTAAGTTGTTATTGACATTACGGAGTTTCGTCCTTAAATGTCGTTGTGCAGTTAATTCTGCAAATGTTCATATATGTGTGTTTTTATTCTATTTGAGCCATGCATGTGTTCACTTGTGGATATATATGTCAGGTGTGTGTTTTATATGTCCACATGCATAATATATACCCACAAGTGAACACAAATAGAGTAAAAACACACATATATAGATACTCAAAATCTAATTAAAATTGCATATGTTGTGTAATATGATTGAAATCCCATGCAAATGCAATCATAAGCAATTCTAATTTGATTTCGAGTATCTATCTATATCTATTTGCGGCCAACGTTTTTGCAAATAGGTGCATGTGTATAAATATATATATATATATATATATATATATATATATATATATATATATATATATATATATATATATATATATATATATGTATGTATATATATATATATATATCAAGCAGAAAATTCTACTTGACCGCGGTGGGAATCGAACCCGCGACCTTCGCATTTCTAGAACGATGCTCTACCGTCTGAGCTACAAGGCCAAGTTGGGAACGAATGTTACTTAAGTTGTTATTCACATTACGGAGTTTTGTCCCTACGTGTCGTTATGCAGTTATACTTGTGTATATGTTCTTTCTACACAAGTATGCACTTATACTTGTGTAGAAAGAACATATAAAACACAGATCACATATAACCCCACAAGTGAACACATGGCTCAATTAAGAGCAAAGTACAAATATATCAACATTTGC